TCGATTTTTCAATTTTTAGTTTTAATTTTGCGATTTTTGGCATCCCAATTTTTAACCTTCAAGAAACGAAAAACTGAAAAATAGAAAAATTAGAAATTTTCAATTTCTTTCAAGTGAAAAATCGGAAAACGAAAATTTGTAAAATATGGAAAATTGTGCAGTTGGGAAAATCGTTAAAAAACAGAAAAACACGGAAACTTAAAATATTTAAAGTTGAAAATTCACATAATTGTAAACTCAAAAAATTGCAAACGAAAAATTCGAATATCAAAATACTTAAAGAAAAGAAAAACTGAAAAATTAAAAAGCAAAAAAAAAATTAAGAAACGAAATTTGAAAAATCGGAAAATTAAAAATTGTGCAATGAAAAAGTGAAGAAACGAAAAATTTGAAAGTCCAAAAATTAGAAATTCCAAAAACTGTTAAGTTGAAAAATTGAAAATACGAAAACAAAATACAAAATACAAAATTCTAAAACAAAAAAAGTGCAATTCGAAAAATTGTAGAAACGAATATGTAGTTGAAAAACTAAAAATCCAAAATGTGAAAAATTAGAAGTTTGCTCGAGAAATCGAAGAATTAACAAAACGAAAAATTGAAGAAATGAAAAATTGAAGAAACAAAAAATAGAAATATCAAAAATTAAGCGAAGTCAAAGAACAAAATCGAAGAACTGATAAGACGAAAAATTAAACAACCAAGAAATTGAAAAAATTAAAACCGGAAACCGAAAATTTGAAAATACGGAAAAATCGTTAAAAACAGAAAAACACGGAAACTTGAAATATTTAAAACTGACAATTCGCAAAATTGTAAAGTCAAAAAATTGCAAACGAAAAATTCAATCAATAATAATAATTGAAGAAACGAAAAATTGAAAAATCAAGATAATTGAAGAAAAGAAAAACTGAAAAATGAAAAAGCAAAGACAAAAAAAAATTAAGAAACGAAAAATTGAAAAATTGGAAAATTAAAAATTGTGGAACGAAAAATTGATGAAACGGAAAATTGAAAAAGTGAAAATAGGCAAATTTTAAAACGAAAAGTTAAAATAGAAAAATTATAAAATGAAAAAATTTCCAAAAGAAAATGGAAGAAATGAAAAATCGAAGAAACGAATAATTTAATAGTGAAATAATTGAAGAAACGAAAAACTTAGAAATAATAAAAATATTGGGTTTATTTTCCAATGGTTTTCGATTTTCGTTTATCTAGTTTTTCAATTTTTTTATTTTTTAATTTCTAAGTTTAATATTTTTCGATTTTTTAATTTTTAGATACTTTAATTTTTCGATTTTTCACAATTTTTTCGATTTTTTACGATTTTGAACAATTTTTTGATTTTTCAATTTTTAAAAATCGGAAAACGAAAATTTGAAAATACGGAAAAATCGTTAAAAAATAGAAAAAACACGGAAACTTGAAATATTTAAAACTGAAAATTCGCAAAATTGTAAAGTCAAAAAATTGCAAACGAAAAATTCAATCAATAATAACAATTGAAGAAACGAAAAATTGAAAAATCAAGATAATTGAAGAAAAGAAAAACTGAAAAATGAAAAAGCAAAGACAAAAAAAACGAAAAATTGAAAAATTGGAAAATTAAAAATTGTGGAACGAAAAATTGATGAAACGAAAAATTTGAAAAAACCAAAAACTGTCAATCGAAAAATTGTAAGACGAAAACTTGCACAAAAAAACGAAAAATCGAAAAATTTTAAAATAAAAAAATTGCAATTCGAAAAATAGAAGATGTAATTGAAGAGACGAAAAATCCAAAAAGTGAAAAATTAGAAGTTTGCAAAAAATCGAAGAACTGACAAAACGAAAAATCGTATGATCGGAAAAGTCTACGAGAGAAAACATGAAAAATTGAAAAATCGTAACAACGAAAAATTGTAAAAACGAAAAATTGCAAAACGAAAAGTTGAAGAAATAAAAAATTAAAATATCAAAAAATTAAGGTAAATCGAAGAACAAAATCGAAGAACTAATAAAACGAAAAATTAAATAATCAATATATTGATAAAAAAAAGGTGTAATCCGAGAATTCTAAAATGGAGAAATTCCAAATCGAAAAATTGAAGAAAATAAAAAGTGAAGACACGAAAAATTGAAAACAGGAAACATTGTAAAATCAAAAAATTTTAAGATGACGAAATTACAAAACGAAAAATTGAAGAAAACTGAAAAAACTAAAACTTAGAAATTAAAAACTGAAAAATTCTTGGAAAAATTGAAAAAGTGAAATATTTATTGTAAAATCGGGAAATTACAAATCTAAAATTTGGAAAAACGAAAAATTGAAAAATTGTAAAATTGTAAAATTAAACGTCGAAGTAAAAAATCGAAGAATTGGCCGAACGAAAAAATTTATACGAGCGAAAAATTGCCAATCGAAAAACTGAAGAAATAAAAATTTAAAATGTGAAACATTGTAAAATGGAAAAATTGTAAAATCGGGAAATCACAAAAATAAAAATTGAGAAACTAAAACAGTGAAAAAATAAAAAATCGAAGAAATGAGAAACTTTAAAATCAAAAAATCGTAAGATCGAAAATTGCAAATCGACAAATGGAAAAATTGAACACACGAAAAGTAAAATATTTCAATATTAAAAAATCGAAAAGTTGTAAAATCGAAAAATCGAAAAAATATTCATCCGGAAATCTGAAGGAAGGTAAAATTAAAGAATAAAAAAACGAAAACTCGAAAAAAATTGAAGAAACTAAATTTGTAAAAACGAAAAATTGCAAAACGAAAAATTGAAGAAATAAAAAATTAAAATATCAAAAAATTAAGTTAAATCGAAGAACAAAATCGAAGAACTGATAAAACGAAAAATTAAATATTCAAGATATTGATAAAAAAAAGGTGTAATCCGAGAATTCTAAAATGGAGAAATTCCAAATCGAAAAATTGAAGAAAATAAAAAATGAAGACACGAAAAATTGAAAACAGGAAACATTGTAAAATCAAAAAATTCGAAGATGACGAAATTACAAAACGAAAAATTGAAGAAAACTGAAGAAACGAAAACTTAGAAATTAAAAACTGAAAAATTCTTGGAAAAATTGAAAAAGTGAAATATTTATTGTAAAATCGGGAAATTACAAATCTAAAATTTGAAAAAACGAAAAATTGAAAAATTGTAAAATTGTAAAATTAAACGTCGAAGTAAAAAATCGAAGAATTGGCCGAACGCAAAAATTTATACGAGCGAAAAATTGCGAATCGATAAACTGAAGAAATAAAAATTTAAAAAGTGAAACATTGTAAAATGGAAAAATTGTAAAATCGGGAAATCACAAAAATAAAAATTGAGAAACTAAAACAGTGAAAAAATAAAAAATCGAAGAAATGAGAAACTTTAAAATCAAAAAATCGTAAGATCGAAAATTGCAAATCGACAAATGGAAAAATTGAACACACGAAAAGTAAAATATTTCAATATTAAAAAATCGAAAAGTTGTAAAATCGAAAAACCGAAAAAATATTCATCCGGAAATCTGAAGGAAGGTAAAATTAAAGAATAAAAAAATGAAAACCCTAAAAAAATTGAAGAAACTAAATTTGCAAAAACGAAATGATCAAGAAATTACAAATCAAAAGAAAAACTAAAATTTTAAAAATTGAAAAGTTGAAAATGGGAACAACCGAAAAATTGCAAACCTAAAACCTGAAAAATCAAGAAATTGTATATGAAAAATTGAAGAAGAAATGAGAAATTGAAGAATAAAAAAGTGCAAAACCGAAAACTCGAAGAAATGAAAAATTTAAAAAACGAAACATTGTAAAAATCAGGAAATCACAAGCCGAAAAATTGATAAAACGAAAAATTGAAAAACTGAAAAATCAAAAAATTAAAAAAAGGGTATAATCGAAAAATTAAAAGTTCACGGACTGAAAAATCAAAGAATTGACAAAACGAAAAATAAAAAATCAAAAAAATTAAAAATTGAAATATTGTGCAATCAGAAAATTGTAAGAGCGAAAAATTGAACAAACGAGATAGTTTAAAAAAATCGTTATGTCATTTTCCTTACATAATAGATTATTTTCATACTCGTATAATTGCATAATCGATAGTTGCTTGAAATTCCCATGAATCATTCACCCCTTAAGAACCTATATACAACTAAAAATGCTTGTACATAAACGTTAAATACAGAGGAATAAATTTGTTTGTACTTTATTCACTCTGATTTATCTAAGCGACAAATTGGTCGCACGATTTTCCGCAAATAAAGAAAACTAATATTTTACTTCCTCCACCATAACCCGAAACTTTTGACACTCTCCCCCACCGGGCCCCCAACAACGTTAAAACGAGTATAAAAGTTAAATTAATTTTCAGCAAACAACCTTCTTGTTTTGATACCCCAACAAAACACTGTAATTTATATCTACATAAAATACCACCAAACTGCTACCCCAAACTACGACTTTTTCACTTCTCCCATCTCCGCACTTCTTCCAAAACAAAAAGAAAATTGTTCGAAACAAAAGCCACCCTCCTCACACGAGCCATTTTTCCTCCTCAAACCAGTATTTATTCACGTCACAGTGATAACACACTAACACCCTCCCGCCCCCACGGCCATTTATTCCAACACAACTTCCAGCAGAATTTATTCCATTTGAAGTTGTTTATTGTACTATAAAGTAAACACGGCCAGCACAGACGGGTTGGTCTGGACACAACGTAAACAATTTCCAAAGAAATCCGGAATTAACATACAAAGCGTCTGACCATCCCCGATTTAATTCATTCTTCTTGCTTTTCCACCCCGGGGCCGTCCGGCGAAATTTAATTTAGTGCCGTTCAAGTTTTTTTATAAATCAGAAGTAAGGGGTGATTTGGGGGGTGAGGAACAGATGCTCTTCTCGGGGGCGTTTGATGTCGGTGATATGATTTTTGCGCTGAGACGCTCGAATTCTTTGTGTGTTCGGTGTAATTACAAGCTTCAACGAAGTTAATTAATGTTCTTTGTTGCAGTGGATGGGATGGAATTGGAGACACTCTACCAGAGATATTGTATACGTCTTAAGCATGCTCTGTTCTTGTCGTGTTTATCGGTGGCGGCTGCCACCAGTGCCGGATTACTTATCACGACGTGTGTGATGGAGGTGGGTGGTTAAGTTTGTGATTATTTATGCAACCAACAATACACCACGCCATATAAAATTTAATAGTGTACTAAAATATATTTTAGTACACAAACATACATTAATTTTGTTTATTTATGTTGTGTGGTAGGAGCATTTTTTTTAAATGGACTTTTTAGTTTTCTGGTTGGTCGATCATTTTGCCATTTTCGGAATTTTCAATTTAAAATTTTTCAAGTTCTATTTTTGAATTTTTAAATTATTCTTTTTTCAATTTTTCGTTTCTTCAGTTCTTCGACTTTTCAGTTTTTCTATTTTTCGAAGAAAGAACAAATTTGTTCTTTTTGTTAAAAAACAACAATTAAAAATCGAGAAAATAAAAAATTATAACCTACTATGGAAAGTTAAAGATCTAAAATTAAAAACTGAGAAATCTAAGCGTTGAGAAATTGAAAATACATGCGTAAAATTGAAAAATTAAAAATGAAAACTTAAACAATTAAAAATTTGAAAAACTGGAAAATTTGAATATCGACAAATCGAAAAACTGCAGATCCGTAAAATTAAAAATTACGAGAATTTAAAAGTTAAAATCTAAAAAATTGTGTAATCATAAAATTGGAAAATAGAAAAACCAAAAAATTTTAAACGGAGAAACTGAAAAATCAATAAACTGAAATCAAAAACTGAAAAGTCGAAAAATTCTAAATTTCAAATATTGATGAATTTTACCATTGAAAAATCGTCAAAAAAAAAAAACAAAAAATTGGGAAATGCAAAACTGAAAAATCAAAAATTGACACAATAATAAAATTGAAAAATCTGAAAGTTGTAAATTTGAAATATCAAAAAATCTCATAATCGAAAAATCCTCGAACAATTTAAAAAGTCGTGAAGCTGAAAAATTTTAAATGATGAAACTGAGAAATCAAGAAATTGAAAAATCTAAAAACTCTAAATTTCAAATATTGAGATATCTGGCAATTGAAAAATCATCGAAAAATTTAAAAAATCAGAAGTGAAAAAACGAAAAATTCGAAAACTGTAAAACTGAAAAAATGATAAATTTGAAATACAGAAAAAACCTCACAATCGAAAAATCGTCAAAAAAATTGAAGAATCGTAAAATTGAAAAGTCGAAAACCAAAAAATTTTAAATGAAGAATCTGAAAAATCAAGAAATTGAAAAATAGGATGATCGAAAACTCGTGAAATGAAACATCAAAAATTGTAAAACGGAAAAATCGAAAACTTTAAAATCTAGAAATCGGATGATTGAGAAATCGAAAACCTACATTATTGTACACTTCTGAAGTCTAAAAATTGAAAAAGCGAGAAACTGAAACATTAAAAATTGGAAACTCGAAAAATTGAGGAAGCCAAAAACTGTAAAATCGAAATTTTGAAAAATGTTACAATTGAAAAATCGGAAAATAGAAAATTGAAAGCTGAAAAATTTAAAATCCAAAAATCGAGAAATTCAAAGATCTAAACATTCAGAAATCAAAAATTGATAAATCGAAAAACTGAAGTTTCGAAAAATTCTAAAATCGGCGTATTGAAAAATCTCACAACTAAAAAATTGAAAACTTAAGAAATCTAATAATTGAAAAATCAAAAAATAAAATATTAAAAACTGAAAAATCTGCAAGTTGAAAATCCGAAAAATTCCAAATATATAAAATTGAAAAATTGAAAATTCACGAACCTAAAATGTGAAATATGAAAAATCGTAAAATTAATTAGTTGAAAAGTTAAAAACTGAAAAATTGAAAACTTGATTTTAAAATTAAAACGATTGAGAAACCCTCAAATCACTAAAATTGTCAAATTCTCAAAATAGTCAATTCTTCAAAACACCAAAATTCTCAAATCTTCAAAATCCTGAAGACGTCAAAATCCTCAAATTCTCAAAACATCGCGATCTTTAAATTTTCAAGTCGTCAAAATCATCAAATCACGTTCTGTTAAACAATAAACACATCATTATTATTAAAAATCCTCAAAATTCTCAAATCACCAAAATCCTAAAATCTTCAAATCCCCAAAATCCTCAAAATCCTCAATTCAAAAAATCGTCTAATCCTCAAAATTCTAAAATCCTCAAGACACCATAACATTCTCAAATGTTCAGCAAAGTTCACAAATCCTCAATTACTCAAAACAGTCAAATCCTCAAATCACCAAAAATCCTCAAATGCTCAAAACACCAAAATCCACAAATCCTCTAAACATCAAATTCATCAAATCCTCAAATCTTCAAAGTCCTCAAAATACCAAAATCTTCAAATCCTCTAAACACCAAAATCTTCAAATCCCCAAAATACCGAAATCATCAAATCCTCAAAATATTCAAATTCTCAAATCCTCAAAACACCAAAATTTTTAAATTCTTAAATACCAAAATTGTTAAATCTTCAATTCCTTAAAATTTTCCACAACATTCTCAAATCTTCAAAACAGCAAAGTCCGCAAATTCCCAAATCCTCAAACTAGTCAAATCCTCAAAACACGAAAAACTTCAAAACCTCAAAATACCAAAATTCTCAAAGCCTCAAAACACCGAAATCCTTGAATACTCAGATAGTAAATACTTAAATAGTCAGACTACCAAAACATCAAAAATCCTCAAATTCTCAAAACACCTAAATCCTCAAATTCTAAAACCAACAAACATTTTCAAAACAGCAAAGTTCGCAAGTCCTCAAATTTTCAAAATAGTCAAATAGTCAAAACACCAAAAATCGTCAAATCCTCAAAGCACCAAAATTCACGAAGCCTCAAAAGACCAAATTCATCAAATCCTCAAATCTTCAAAGTCCTCAAAACACTAAAATCCTCAACTCCTCAAATCTTCAAAATAGTCAAATCCTCAAGACACCAAAAGTCCTCAAATCCTCTGAACACCAAATTCATCAAATCCGCAAATCCTCAAATTCTCAAAGTTCTCAAAACACCAAAACCTGCAAATCCTCAAATCCTCAAAATAGGCAAATCCTCAAGACACCAAAAATCCTCAAATCCTCAGAACACCAAAATTCTCAAATCCTCAAAACACCAAAATCATTAAATCCTCAGAATACCAAAATCTTCAAATTATTAAAATGCCAAATCTTTAAGTCTTCAATTTCTTAAAATTTTCCACAAAATTCTCAAATCTTCAAAACTGCAAAGTTCACAAATTCCCAAATCCTCAAAATAGTAAAATCCTCAAAACACCAAAATCTTCAAAACCTCAAAATGCCAAAACCCTCAAAGCTTCAAAACACCAAAATCCTTAAATACTCAGATAGTAAATACTTAAATAGTCAGATTCTCAAAACACCAAAAATCCTCAAATTCCCAAAACGCCTAAATCCTCAAATTCTTAAAACAGCAAAAATTTTCAAATCTTCAAAACACTAAAGTTCGCAAATCCTCAAATCCTCAAAATATTCAAATAGTTAAAATACCTAAAATCATCAAATCCTCAAAGCACCAAAATTCACAAATCCTCTAAACACCAAATTTATCAAATCCTGAAATCCTCAAAGTCCTTAAAACACCAAAATCTTCAAATCCCCAAATCCTTAAAATAGTCAAATCCTCAAGAAACCAAAAATCTTTAAATCCTCAAAACACGAAAATCTTCAAATACTCAAAGCACAAAAAACCTCAAGTCCTCAAATCTTCAAAACACCAAAATCCGAAAATCCTCAAAACACAAAAATCCTGACTTTCCCAAAATACCAAATCCTCTAAATCTTCAATTCCACAAAATTTTGAATAGACAAAACACCAAAATCCACAAAGCCTCAAAATACCAACATTCTCAAATTCTCAAATACTCAAAATAGGCAGATTCTCAAAATACCAAAAATCCTCAAAACAGAAAAATCCTCAACCTCTTAAACCAGCAATCCTTAAATCAAAGCACCAAATTCATCAGGTCCTCAAATCCTCAAGGTCCTCAAAACACCAAAATCCTTAAATCCTCAAATCCTCAAAATAGTCAAATCCTCAAGACACCAAAAATCCTCAAATCCTCTAAATACCAAATTCATCAAATCCGAAAATTGTCAAATTCTCAAAGTCCTCAAAACACCAAAAGCTTCATATCCTCAAATCCTCGAAATAGTCAAATCCTCAAGACACCAAAAATCCTCAAATCCTCAGAACACCAAAATCCTCAAATCCACAAAACACCAAAATCATCAAATCCTCAAAATACCAAAATCTACAAATTATCAAAATGCCAAAATCCTTAAATCTTCAATTTCTTAAAATTTTCCACAAAATTCTTAAACTTCAAAACGACAAAGTTCGTAAATTCCCAAATCTTCAAAATAGTAAAATCCTCAAAACACCAAAAATCCTCAAATTTTCAAAACACCAAAATCCTCAAATCGTCAAATTCTTAAAACAGCAAACATTCTGAAATCTTCAAAACAGCAAAGTTCGCAAATCCTCAAATCCTCAATATATCCAAATCATAAAAACACCAAAAATCCTCAAATCCTCAAAACACCAAAATCCTCAAATCCTTTAAACACCAAATTCATCAAATCCTCCAAATACTCAAAACACCAAAATTCTAAAATCCACAAATCTTCAAACACGAAAATCCTCAAATCCTCAAAACACCAAAATCCCCAATTTCACAAAATACCAAAACACCTAAATCTTCAATTCCTCAAAATTTTTGAATAGACAAAACACTAAAATCCTCAAAACCTCAAAACACCAACATTCACAAATTCTCAAATACTCAAAATAGCCAGATTCTCAAAACACCAAAAATCCTCAAATCCTCAAAACAGAAAAATCCTCAAATTCTCAAAACACCAAATTCATCAAATCCTCAAGGTCGTCAAAACACCAAAATCTTTAAATCCTCAAATCCTCAAAATAGTCAAATCCTCAAGACACCAAAAATCCTTAAAATACAAAAATCATCAAATCCTCGAAATATTCAAATCCTCAAAACCGAAAATCCTCAAATACTCAAAACACCAACATTTTCAAATCCTCAAATCCTCAAA